GGAACAAGAGTGAAACTCCGTCTCAAAAAAAAAAAAAGGGTATATATATATATGGCTGGATGCAGTGGCTCACTCCTGTAATCCCAGAACTTTGGGAGGCCGAGGAGGTTAGGAGTTCAAGACCAGCCTGACTAACATAGCGAAACCCCATCTGTACTAAAAATACAAAATTTAGCTGGGTGTGGTGGTGGGCACCTGTAGTCACAGCTGAGGCAGGAGAATTGCTCGAACCTGGGAGGTGGAGGTTGCAATGAACTGAGATCGTGCCATTGCACTCCAGCCTGAATGACAGAGCAAGACCATCCAAAAAAAATTACATATATATATAAAATTTCAGAAATCAAATGTGTACAGCTTGATACAGTTTCACAAACTAAGCACACTTGTGTAAGCAGCCCCCACATTAGGAACCAGGACCTTCGGAGCTCTGGCACACACTCCAGTCACCACTGGTGACTTCCAGCTTCCGACACCATACCTTCAGGTTGGCCGGATTGTGTAATTTCTATCAGCGGAAGCCTACAGTCTGTACTTTTTGTGTACATGGCTTCTTTTTTTTTTTTTTGAGGTGGAGTTTCGCTCTCGTTACCCAGGCTGGAGTGCAATGGCGCAATCTCGGCTCACCGCAACCTCCGCCTCCTGGGTTCAGGCAATTCTCCTGCCTCAGCCTCCTGAGTAGCTGGGATGACAGGCACGTGCCACCATGCCCAGCTAATTTTTTTGTATTTAGTAGAGATGGGGTTTTACCATATTGACCAGGATGGTCTTGATCTCTTGACCTAGTGATCCACCCGCCTTGGCCTCCCAAAGTGCTGGGATTACAGGCGTGAGCCACCGCGCCCGGCCATGGCTTCTTTACTCACATTATAGTTGTGAGCGTTAGCCATGCTGCAGCCTTCAGTAGAAATTTGCTTCCTCTCGTTGCTGTATAGTATTCCATGGTGTGAACATTCCACAGTTTATTTCACATTCTAGTCTTTATTTTTTGTAGAGACAGAGTCTTTCTCTGTTACCCAGGCTGGTCTTGAACTCATGGCCCCAAACAGTCCTGCCTTAGCCTCCCAAAGTGCTGGGATTACACATGTGAGCCACTGTGCCCGCCTCCATTCTAGTCTTTTTTTTTTTTTTTTTTTTTTTGAGACGGAATCTTGCTGTGTCACCCAGGCTGGAGTGCAGTGGCATGATCTCAGCTCACTGCAACCTCCACCTCCTGGGTTCACGTGATTCTCCTGCCTCAGCCTCCAGAGTAGCTGGGACTGCAGGCATGCACCACTACACCTGGCTAATTTTTTAGTAGAGACGGGGTTTCACCATGTTGGCCAGGCTGGTCTCAAACTCCTAACCTCGTGATCCACCCACCTCAGCCTCCCAAAGTGCTGAGATTACAGACGTGAGCCACCTTGCCTGGCCCCCATTCTAGTCTCGATGGACATTCGTGTGTTTCTAAATTTGGGGCATTGGAAGTGGCGCTGCAGTGAGCACGATATGCACAGCGGTGGATTCCTACCTGTAGATTTGTACTTGTGGATTTGTTTCTGAGGGAGATATGCCTAGGAGCCCTTGCAGGGTCCCATGAGATGGAAGAGGTGATGCAGTCAGACCTGGCTGTTGGACAGGGGCTGCACAATGCAGGCATGAATATGGCCAGGAGCCGCACAATGCAGGCATGAATATGGCCAGGAGCCGCACAATGCAGGCATGAATATGGCCAGGAGCCGCACAATGCAGGCATGAATATGGCCAGGAGCCGCACAATGCAGGCATGAATATGGCCAGGAGCCGCACAATGCAGGCATGAATATGGCCAGGAGCCGCACAATGCAGGCATGAATATGGCCAGGAGCCCTAAGGGAGGCCGCTTGAGCTGCCCATCTCCTCCCTCTGAGCTGAGGGTTTGACCAGTGATGTTCCTGACGCCTGCTCTGCACACCCTGAGAGGCGCTGCGTCCTTCCTGTTACCTCCACAACAGCCCTGGGAGGCAGCCCTGAGTGCACCCAGCTTGTGGCTGAGGCGAGACTCAGAGTGGCACGCTATTGCCATGGCCACCTGGCCCAGGTTCAGAACCACCCTGCGTCTCATGAACCAGACTGTTGGCTGCCTCCTCCCACTGCCCTGAAACCCAGGCTTTTCCAGAGCTGCCCCAGGGCAGGGTCTGGCCTTTCCCCTCTGGCCTTTCCTCTGGCAGGGAGTTCACAGAGAGGGTGGCCCTGAGATTAGAGGTACAGAGTCTCACTGCACCACACCCCAGCCACACTGGTCTGTGCTCAGAGTCCCAGCAAGCCCTTAGGAAACAAGGCTCTTTCTCTCTCTTGGCCTCCGATGTGGTTGGCTGTCTCCCGACTCAAATCTTGTCTTGAACTGTAGCTTCCATAATTCCCACCTGTTGTGGGAGGGACCCGGTGGGGGTAATTGAATCATGGAGGCAGTTTCCCCCATATCATTCTCATGGTAGTAAGTCTCACAAGATCTGATGGCTTTGTACGGGAGTCCCCCTTTCAGGGGGTTTTCTTTCTCTCTTGCCTACTGCCATGTAGGATGTGCCTTTCACCTTCCACCATAATTGTGAGGCCTCCCCAGCCGTGTGGAACTGTGAGTCCATTAAACATCTTTTTCTATATAAAGTAGCCAGTGTTGGGTATGTCTTTGTGAGCAGTGTGAAAACTAATACAGCCTCTTTCTCCAAATGTGATGATGCTGCCTTCTGGGTTGAATGTTCATTCGTTCACTTCAGGAAATATTTGAGTTCCTCAGTCATGCCAGACCACGTGTGGGCATCAGGGATGAAGGGTGAACACAGCCAGCTGGGTGCCACCCTCAGGAAACTGCCATTTCAGTGGAGGCTCTCGAAGTCCTGATCCCTGTGATGTCAAACTAGCAGTGATGGTTTCAGTTGTAAAAACCTGTGAGAGGAGCTGTTCATCGTTTCTCTCTTAGAGTAGATGCTTCTGGAAGGTAGGGCCTGGGACCCCTCACCCACGGAAATGGCCAGGCTCCCCTGGGCTGTGAGCTCCCCTGGTTTGCAACATTTGCTGATTTCCATGTTGGAAACCCTCTCTCTTGGCGAGGGGTGCGGTGGCTCATGCCTGAAATTCTAGCACTTTGGGAGGCCGAGGTGAAAGGATCACTTGAGGCCAGGAGCTTGAGACCAACCAACATAGTGAGACCTCGTTTCTAGCAATAAACACATAGAGGCAGGTGTGGTGGTTCATGCCTGTAATTCCAGCACTTTAGGAGGCCGAGGCAGGCAGATCACAAGGTCAGGAGCCTGGTCAACATGGTGAAACCAGCCGGGCACGGTGGCTCAAGCCTGTAATCCCAGCACTTTGGGAGGCCGAGGCGGGTGGATCACAAGGTCAAGAGATCGAGACCATCCTGGTCAACATGGTGAAACCCTGTCTCTACTAAAAATACAAAAAATTAGCTGGGCATGGTGGCACGTGCCTGTAATCCCAGCTACTCAGGAGGCTGAGGTAGGAGAATTGCCTGAACCCAGGAGGCGGAGGTTGCGGTGAGCCGAGATCGCGCCATTGCACTCCAGCCTGGGTAACAAGAGCGAAACTCCGTCTCAAAAAAAAAAAAAAAAAAAAAAAAAAAATGGTGAAGCCCTGTCTCTATTAAAAGTACAAAAATTAGCCAGGCGTGGTGGCACACACCTGTAATCCCAGCTACTCAGGAGGCTGAGGCAGGAGAATCACTTGAACCCGGGAGGCGGAGGTTGCAGTTAGCCAAGATCACCATTGCACTCCAGCCTGGGTGACAGAGCGAGACTCCATCTCAAAAAACCAAAACAGTAAACACATAAATATATAAAGCAAGCACGCACTCTCCCCAGGGCTCGCACTCAAGCTGCTGCCCAGGTTGGAAGGAGATGCCCACAGCCAGCTCTGGAGAGTGGGCAGTGCAAGCAGGCTCCTGCGCCTCCACTGCTGTCTCCGCAGCACCCAGAGCAAGGCCTGGCACACAGTAGGTGCACAACAACTATATGGCGAACAAATGAGTGAGCATCCTTCAACTTTCCTGTCTGTGCCTACATCCCGGAGCCCGCTTATATTAATTCAAACCACTGTTTATCAAGCACTCAGTGTGAGCCACGCCACGGCCAAAGGCTCAGCGGACAGGATCTCACCCACCATCTGAGAATCAGTCAGCCGGTGAAGCAGGAGGAAACTCACAGCTCCTCATGACCCGATGGAAATGCAAACAGCTCCAGGTGAGGGCATGGGGTGGTGGATGGGGCGCTGGGCTAGGTTCCGGAGACCCAGCTGTCCGGCCTGGGGCTGTCATGGAGTTGCTGTATGTGCTGGAGCATGCCCCCTTCCCTCTCGCATCTCCTCTTTCATCAGCAAGGGTGCCGGTCTCAGTTAACAACCACTCATGAAACAACCACCCCAAAACCTCCTGGCTTAAAACCATCCCCATTTTACGCTCAAAGTCTGTGGTTACACTCAGCTGGCCAGGTCTGCTGGGGTCGCTCATGGCAGCTGGCCACTCAGCCGGGTCTGTGTGGCCCAAGAGGACCTTCAAGACTGGCAATGAGCTGTGGCTGCTGGCCAGGGTGCCTCTGTTCTCCGCGTGGCCTCCCCAGCGAAGGAGCCCAGGTGTCTTGCATGGCAGCAGCTACCGTCCAAGAAGGCACGTCCCCAACACAGCAGAGCTCAGGCCTCTGCTAGGCAAAGCAGGTCACACAGCCAAGCCTGGCTCTGCTGTGGGAGAGGACTGTACAGGACGTGAGTCCTGAGAGGTGCAATTCTGGGAGCCTTGATCGTGACAGTCCACCACCAAACAGGCCAGGCTTCCCCTTGGGGTCTTCCCAGCTCTGGTCTCTGGGATTCTGAGCCTCCTGGGACAACTTGTTCTGCTCTAAGATGGGAACTGCTCCAAGACTGATGTGGGGGGTGGGGACCAAAAGGACCCAGGAGCCAGCTTGGAGGGGCTCCCACTGGCTCTGGCCCTGCTATGCCCCAAGAAGCACACAGCCACGCACATAACCAACAATATGGCAAGGTGGGAGGAGGTCGTCTCAAGTGTTTATTTGACGCACAGTCAGTGCACACACTCTACCATCCGAAGTCAGAAGCTGCGACAGTTGACTGCTACAGGCAGTGCACAGATGTGTAAACAAAGACAAATGAAAATGCCACGTCTGTTCACTGGGGAGCAAATGAGGAGGCGGGGCTGAGGCCCACCATTACATTCACAGCACAGGGCAAGTGCAAATGAACAGGATATCAGGACTCGGGGTGGACGGGGCGGGGCACAGGGTCCTTTCTGCCCAGGCAGGTTAGTGCCCGAGGATCCCGAGTCTGGGAAGGGGCCCCCAGCACTGTCTCCCCTCCCCTCCGTGCCGCACCCTCCCACCCCCGGACCCCTTTCCCATTCGGAGGAGAGGGGCCCCGGTTGCAGGAGCCAGTCCTCTGACCCCTGAGTGTGGAAACCCAGGAGGGGAGTCTGTTTCTCCTGCAGGCCTCAACAGAATGCATTAGGGTGACAGACACCTGCTCAGGTGAAGATACTGAGAAGCGAGTCTGCCAGGCTGACAGGAACCCGCGGCGTGAGGTCCTGCTAATAAAACTCTGTCTGCAGGCCCAGGGGAGGCTCTGCCCCCATGAGGCCCCAGGAGCATTTGTGCGTTGAACTGAAGGCAAAGTGCTGAGCAGTTTCTTGTCCTAATGAGGGTGGGGAAGCTGGTCCAGCCACAGACATCCTCTGACCTCCCCCAGCGTGGTCCCTGGGCCCACGGGTGACGGGTCTGAGCAAACCCTGGTCAGAGCCCCCAGCTCAGAGCCTAGCACCACCCAGGGAGGTCCAGGCTCACAGAAGGGGGATGGGTGGAGGCAGGAGGGCCCACCCCACCTCTGCCCGTCTTTGGTGGAGGCAAAGGTGGGAGAAGAAATGACGATCTTTGGCAGGGCAAGGGAATGTCAAAGGACAGTGTCCTGGTTTGGTGCTTGGGTTTGTCCCCTCCCAGAGAACACAGGATGGGGAGGCCCACACCTCTGTCCCACCTCTGGATGGCCTGAGCCTGCTGCCCACCAAGGTGGCCACACTCTCCTCCTCTGGAGTTGCAAAGGCTGAGAAGGTGGCCAAGGTGGGGAAGCCATCAGGACAGGCCAGCCGGCTGCCTGGATGCTGAGACCATGGAGCCACAGGTGGCTTCTAGCTCTGGACACTGGGACCTTCACTACAGGGCGCAGTGTCCCCTCCTTCACCTCTACCCTCCCAGCCCCCTTGCCAGGAGCCCTGGGGTGATGAGAGGTTTTGTGGTGCCCCACCTGGGGCATCCTGGCTCTGCCTGTCCCAGATCTCCACAACGCCCCGCTCTCTCACTGCCTCTCTCTCCCACGGGCCCCACTGGCCACTGTCCTGGCCTCTGCTTCCCCCAGGGACCATTCCATCCCTCTCCGTGGAAATTTCCCCTGTGGGCTTTGGGGACTCCCAGATGATGGGGGTGGGGTAAGGTCAGGGGCAACCGCCCTCGGCCACCACGGCCATCAGCCACCAACCCAGGGAAGGGAGGAGGAGCCTTTTCTCTGCTGCCTCCAGCCCACACAGCCTCTACTGCAGCCCCCCCAGGGACCCATTCTCTCGGGGCAGCGCTCCATTCAGGCCTGTGCTGCTGGCCGTGGGTACCCCAAGGTAGCCCAGCAGGATCTCGCTGCGGCGCCGGGACAGCTGCAGGATGTCATCTGCCAGCGCGGGCACCGACGTGTAGCGCACATTGTCCAGGTCGAACATGTCCCTCAGGTACTGCACAATCTGGTGCTGCAGGCACAGGGCTGGCGTCAGGCCTGGCCCGGGCTGCTGCCCACCACGATGCCCTCCAGGTCACCCCACCCGCCTTCTCCACCACCAGAGCCCCAGCCAGTCCTCTCCACCCCCGGGCTCCTCCCTCCCACTGCTTCCTCTGGACCCACGTGGGTCCGGCTCTGCCCTCCCTCTGGGAGCAGGCCCAGGCCCTCACCCCATTCCTGGCACCTCCCAGAGTCCGCCTGTGCCCAGGGCAGTGGTCAGGAAAGAACAAAAACTGCTCCCTGTTTACCTTGAAGAAAGCACAGACTTCAGCGAGCTGAGGCTTGGGTCCAAGGAAGCCGAAGGCTAGGACAGGGCTCACATGCTCCGATACGGAGTAGAAGTGGGAGATGAAGCCGTCGGGCACCTGCAGTGGCAACAAGGCTGAGGGGCCAGGCTGGGGCCCAGGTAGGACGAGGACTGGTCCCAGGTGTGGCATAAAGGGCCGCGCTTTAGAGGTCGACCCAGCTCAGGAACGTTCCCGCTGGATGGCCCTGGGCAGTGACTCGAGCTTTCAAAGCCCATTTTAACTTATGCAGACGGTAACCACGGGCCACTGGGGGAACTGCACGAGGCGGGGCTTTGGTGGCTCAGGAAGTGCTTGGAGCACGTGGCAGCAGCAGCTGGTATCAGCTGGGCAGCAGAACCTAGCCCGCAGAAGGCAGCAACAAACCACAGCCCAGATAGCACAGCCAGTCCCTGCCTGGGAGCAGAGATGACAGGAACCTGACTACTGGTGGGGAAGGGGCGGGCTCTGTCTGCTCCTGGGCGTCCTGTCCCCAGCAAGGCGCCTGCACCAGGCCAGCCCTGTGGCCACCACCCTAGGGTGTCTGTTCCCATCCCCAGTGGCCTGCTCTGTGCTGGGCCTGGGAGGAGAGGAAGTGGGTCTAGCCGCGCCTCCTGGGAGCTCCCGGCCCTGGGAGAGGTAATGGCAGGACAGGCGGCCAGGGCCAAGTGGCTCAGCAAGGAGTTCCACTCTGCAGCCACACCACCTCGCAGCCCGGCTCAGGGCTCCACACCACCTCGCAGCCCGGCTCAGGGCTCCACACCACCTCACTGCCCAGCTCAGGGCTCCACACCACCTCACTGCCCAGTCACTCACCATCAACAGCCTCCTCTTGGCTTTCAGGACCGACCAGCAAGCAGTGGCCAGGGCCTGCATCAAAGACAGGATGCGCGCTGCTGTCCAAACGGGCCTAGCCCACAGCCCCCACCCCTGCCAGCCAGGACCAAGCCCTCCCACTCCAAGCAGGAAGATGGCGCCGGGTGCCCAAGCGCTGCGGCTTCCTCCTCTGATTATGGAGTCAGACATCCCTAGACTTGGTCTCAACTCTAACCTTACTGCTGGGTCCTCTCTGAGCCTCAGTCTCCTCCTCTGTAAAGGGCCACACACACAATCCCATCTCCTTTGGTGGTTGTGGGAGCAATGGTTCCTGCCTGAACACTGCCTCTCGGAAGCCTGGGCCCAGGCAGCACGGCCCAGCTGCTGGAGCGTCACTACTGGCCTCGCTGGGGGTCCTGTGTTGGGCTGTCTCTTGCTCTGTGCCTTTTTTTCTTTATGGTTTTGCTTTACCCTCTTTTAACTTGATTTAACAGGGTGCATCAAAATGGAATATAATTCATACCGGCACAGAATGACTGGAATTAAGGTAGGGCGCAATGACTCACAGCTCACACCTGTAATCCCAGCACTTTGGGAGGCCAAGACAGGTGGATCACCTGAGGTCAGGAGTTCAAGACCAGCCTGACCAACATGGAGAAACCCTGTCTCTACTAAAAATACAAAAATTAGCCAGGCATGGTGGTGCATGCCTGTAATCCCAGCTACCTGGGAGGCTGAGGCAGGAGAATCACTTGAACTTGGTAGGTGACAGTTGCGGTGAGCCAAGATCAAGCCACTGCACTCCAGCCTGGGCAACAAGAGGGAAACTCCATCTCAAAAAAAAAAAAGAATGAGGCCGGGTGCGGTGGCTCAAGCCTGTAATCCCAGCACTTTGGGAGGCCGAGGCGGGTGGATCACAAGGTCAAGAGATCAAGACCATCCTGGTCAACATGGTGAAACCCCGTCTCTACTAAAAAAAAATACAAAAAATTAGCTGGGCATGGTGGCGCGTGCCTGTAATCCCAGCTACTCAGGAGGCTGAGGCAGGAGAATTGCCTGAACCCAGGACGCAGAGGTTGCGGTGAGCCGAGATCGCGCCATTGCACTCCAGCCTGGGTAACAAGAGCGAAACTCCATCTCAAAAAAAAAAAAAAAAAAAAAAAAAAGAATGAGTGGAATTAACTAAATGAAACCACACAATAGGAAGAAAACGCACACCACGTTGGTTCTAAACTGGGGCACCAGGCAGCAACGGAGCACCCTGGAGGCTTCTTCAAGCAGACTGGTCTCCCAGGCCTGCAGCCCTCGATCTAAGGGCTGGGGGCCCAGCCATGGTGCAAATGCCAGGGACAGAGGGAATGGGAGCAGGCAAGCGCACAGGCCGATGGGAGCAAGCGTGGGTCTGGGAGCGGGACAGTGACCCACCGTCTCCTTGAAGCTGTCTGACAGCCAGCGGTTCCGCAGGACGGCAAGCACTGAGGCCGGGGGGTTCTCCAGGTCCTCGAAGGCATCCATGAGGATGAAGTCCAGCACGATGTCGAAGAAGCTCATGCATACCACCTGCAGAGGGTCCCACCCGGGAGGCTCATGCGTGGCACCCGACACCACCCATGGGGGCACCGCTGGCGCCTCAGGGCCACTTTCCAGACGGGGAGACCGAGGTTGGGGGGCCAGGGCATGCACACACGTGAGGGGGACACGTCTTCCCCGCTCTGCTGTCCAAACGGGTATAGCTGGGGCCATTCCTCCCTCCACGTTGGCCTGGGGCAGGGCAGGAACTGGGGCTGTGAGCAGCAATGAAACAGCTCAGCCACTTGGAACTGGGACAGAGCTTGGCCCAGGATGCAGGGGAGCCCGGGATGCCAGGGTTCAGCACAAAGCAACTCACCCCTCGGCCCTCCAGCTCCAGCCGCGTTGTGGCCCAGGTCTCAGGCCGCAGGGCATAGCTCAGCATCTCCTCGTAGCTCTCCAGGAAGCCTTTGGGGCTCTGTGGGGAGAAGCACAGCCCATCCTGGTCACTGGACAAGACCCACAGGGACAGGCTGGCCTGTGGATGCCAAGGCACAGCTGGGGCCCATCCCCACACAGCAGCCACAGGGAAAACGTGGCAGAGAAGTGTCTCCTACTCAGCACAGCGTGCTACTCCAGAGAACCATGCCACCCAGCCAGGTCAGGCCGGCCCCTCTGCTGACCACCTGCCATCTTCCAGGAGTGCCCAGTGTGACAGCGTCATCTCACTTTGGAGGGACACGGAATGTGAGGGTTAGAGTCAGCCAGTCAAAGGTTCAGATCTCCATGACCTTGGACCTCAGCAGGGAAAGGGGAGAAGCTACAGCCCCACCCTGATGAGGCTCTTCTGGAGCAGTGGCTGAGCTCGTGTGTGACGCAGTCAATCCAGCACCAAAGCATTCAAAAAACAGCACTTGAAGCACTGCTGAGCAGCACTGAGGCTCTCGGCACACGTGACGCATCCTTCACTCTCTGGGGCCCTGAGGGTTACCTGGGGTTTGGGACACTCTTTTCAGATGTGGGTCTGCATTTATGGACGTAGAAAAACACTAAGTGTCAGGGTTGTTTCTCAGCATGGATTAACCAGTGATTTTGTTTTTTCAAGTCTTTTTCTGTCGCCCAGGCTAGAGTGCAGTGGCGTCATCTCAGCTCACTGCAGCCTCCGCCTCCCAGGTTCAAGTGATTCTCCTGCCTCAGCCTCCTGAGTAGCTGGGGTTACAGGTGCCTGCCACCATACCAGGCTATAGTAGACGGGGTTTCACCATGTTGGCCAGGCTGGTCTCGATCTCCTGACCGAAGGTGATCTGCCCACCTCAGCCTCCCAAAGTGCTGGGATTACAGATTATAGGCAGAGCCACCGCACCTGGCCCCAAATTTTGACAAAGTATTTTCATGACATTTTAAAGAAAATTTGCTGGGATATCCTGGGCCATCCTTTGACCACCCTGACTGAGTCCGTTTTCTCACTGGTAAACAGTGACGATGAAGATATGGGCCGGTCCTCGATACCTGAGCGTGCCCTATCATGTAACGTCCCCCGGACACACCCATTCACACAGGAGGACACCCATACGTGATGAGGTTTTGTGGTTGCCCCACTGACACCACATTGAGCCAGTGGACTGATGCTACAACCCTGGTGCCTGGGCTCACATCTGCCCAGGGCTGGCATCTGCCCAGGCAGGGCCGGGCCCCATTCTAATAGAGCGCATCAGTTACTGCTCCAGTCCCAGGACTCGGCGCAGGCTCTGAAGCTCAGGGGCTGCTGAACAGCTTCCATTTGTTTTTGTTTTTCTTTTTGAGACGGAGTCTTGCTGTCACCAGGCTGGAGTACAGTGACATGATCCCAGCTCACTGCAGCCTCCACCTCCTCCAGGTGTCAAGGGGTTCTCCTGCTCCAGCCTCCTGAGTAGCTGGGACTACAAGCATGTACCACCATGCCCGGCTAACTTTTGGATTTTTTTTTTTTTGAGACAGAGTTTTGCTCTTGTTACCCAGGCTGGAGTGCAATGGCGCGATCTCGGCTCATCGCAACCTCCGCCTCCTGGCTTCAGGCAATTCTCCTGCCTCAGCCTCCTGAGTAGCTGGGATTACAGGCACGTGCCACCATGCCCAGCTAATTTTTGTATTTTTAGTAGAGACGGGGTTTCACTATGTTGACCGGGATGGTCTCGATCTCTTGACCTCGTGATCCACCCGCCTCGGCCTCCCAAAGTGCTGGGATTACAGGCTTGAGCCACCGTGCCCGGCCATCTTTTGGATTTTTAGTAGAAACGGGGTTTCACCATGTTGGCCAGGATGGTCTCAATCTCTCGATCTCATGATCCGCCCACCTCAGCCTCCCAAAGTGCTGGGATTACAAGTGTGAGCCACTGCACCCAGCCACGGATTTTTCTTTCTTTCTTTCTTTCTTTCTTTTTTTGAGACGAAGTCTCGCGTTGTTGCCCAGACTGGAGTGCAGTGATGCGATCTCGGCTCACTGCAACCTCCACCTCACAGGTTCCAGCTATTCTCCTGCTTCAGCCTCCCAAGTAGCTGGGACTACAGGCACGCACCACCACGCCAGCTAATTTTTGTATTTTTTAGTATAGACAGGGTTTCACCATATTGGCCAGGATGGTCTCACTCTTTTTTTTTTTTTTTTTTTTTTTTTTGAGACGGAGTTTCACTCTTGTTACCCAGGCTGGAGTGCAATGGCGCGATCTCGGCTCACCGCAACCTCCGCCTCCTGGGTTCAAGCAATTCTCCTGCTTCAGCCTCCTGAGTAGCTGGGATTACAGGCACGTGCCACCATGCCCAGCTAATTTTTTGTATCTTTCGTAGAGACGGGGTTTCACCATGTTGACCAGGATGGTCTCAATCTCTTGACCTCGTGATCCACCCGCCTCAGCCTCCCAAAGTGCTGGGATTACAGGCTTGAGCCACCACGCCCGGCTGGTCTCAATCTCTTGACCTGGTGATCCACCTGCCTCAGCATCCCAACATGCTGGGATTATAGGCGTGAGCCACTGTGCCCAGCCTCATTTGCTAATAAAACCAAAGTCCCACACCGAGAAGTTGCAAAGTGGAGCTCCCCAAAGGGTGGAGTCCTGGCACCCACCTTAGCCTTCCTTCACTTGTTCACTCACTCAGCTTCCTGCGGAGGCCCACAGAGACCCGGCGAAGGGCTCAGGCTGGGTCCAGGCCACCTGACTTCAAATCCAGCTCTACCCCTGACTTGCTTAGTATCCTGGACAAGCCCCCTTCCCTTCCTGGGCTCAGCACCCTCATCCACCAAGCAGAAATTGTGGTGAGGCTTAAATGAACTACCCAAGCTGAAGCACCCTGAGCACACACTGAGCACTGCAGGTAAATGGCCGCTGCTGGGAGCGGAATTATCCGAGGAGTGCTTATACAGTCCTGCCCTGTGCCAGGCCCTGGATGGGGCACACACCTGCGCCAGGAGAGCTCCAGCCCTGGCCCCCATGGAGCTCACTGAATAACAAGAGAAGAAGGACAAGGCAGCCCAGAGCAGGAGGCAGGTGGTGAGGCCACACCACCACAGTGAGCCCAGGGCTTCTCTAGGGTCTCAGGGAATCAGGTGATGACCTCCTGGGACAGAGACGGCTGGGGGTACTCAGAAGACAAGTGACCGTGGAATGGGGAGGGAGGAAGACAGAGGAGAATTGGAGTAGGGGGCTTCCAGACACTGTGTCCCACCTCCTAACCTGGGTGCTGGTTACACGGGATTTGTCTTTCCTTTCGTTAAATCCTATAGCTATGCTGGGCGCGGTGGCTCATGCCTGTAATCCCAGCACTTTGGGAGGCCAAGGCGGGCAGATCACCTGAGGTAAGGAGTCAGACAAGCGTGGCCAACATGGTGAAACCCTGTCTCTACTAAAAATACAAAAATTAGCCAGCCATGGTGGTGCGTGCCTGTAATCCCGGCTACTTGGGAGGGAGGTGGAGGGAGAAAAATCACTTGAACCTGGGAGGCAGAGGTTGCAGTGAGTCAAGATCGAACCACGGTACTCCAGCCCAGATGACACAGCAAGACTCCATCTCAAAAAAAAAAAATCCTATAGATACTTTTTGTTTTTTTGAGACAGGGTCTCATGCTGTTGGCCAGGCTGGAGAGCAGTGGTGCAATCATGGCTCACTGTAGCCTTGAACTCCTGGGCTCAAGCAATCCTCCCATCTCAGCCTCTTAAACTGCTAGGATTACAGGCGTAAGCCACCGTGCCCAGCCAAATCCTATACTTTTTTACACTGTCTTCTATGTGTATTTCACAATAAAGTTGTTTTTTTTTTTTTTTTTAGAGACAGGGTTTCACCATGTTGACCAGGACAGTCTCGATCTCTTGACCTGATGATCCACCGGCCTTGGCCTCCCGAAGTGCTGGGATTATAGGCGTGAGCCACTGTACCTGGCCTCAAGTTGTTTTCTTAAAAAAAAAAAAAAAAGAAGAAGGCCAGGTGTGGTGGCTCACATCTGTAAGCCCAGCACTTTTGGAAGGCTAAGGAGGGCAGATCACCTGAGGTCAGGAGTTTGAGACCAGCCTAGGCAACATAGGAAAACCCAGTCTCTACAAAAAATACAAAAATTAGCCAGCTGTGGTGGCACATGCCTGTTGTCCCAGCTACTCAGGAGTTTGAGGCAGGAGGATGGCTTAAGCATGGCAGGTGGAGGTCGCAGTGAGCCAAGATCATGCCACTGCACTGAGGCTGGGCAGCAGAAGCAAAACTCTGTCTCAACAAAAAAGAGATTGAGCAACAGTGTTCCTGGTGTAGAGCCCAGCACATGCAAAGCCCAGATCAGGCAGCAAGTCTGGTGCACTAGAAGGCCCTTCAGCCAGACAGGATGACGCTCACAGAGCAGCAAACACCAAACAGAGCTTGGCCTTTGCCCCAAGGGCAGCAGGCACAAGCAGGCATTGTAGGTGGCTGGCTACAACCAGACAACAGGTGAGGAGCAGATGTATGAGGTCAGATGTGTGTTTTACACTCATCTCTCCAACTGTTCAAAAGCTGTGTTCAAACCCGTTAAAAAAAAAAAAAAAAGACAAGTAATCAATCAACAAAAATTATGCAACCTCACTGGGTGCGGTGGCTCACGCCTGTAATCCCAGCACTTTGGGAGGCCGAGGCGGGTGGATTAACTGAGGTCAGGCGTTTGAGACCAGCCTGACCAACATGGAGAAACCCCATCTCTACTAAAAATATGAAAATAGCCAGGCGTGGTGGCGCATGCCTGTAATCCCAGATACTCGGGAGGCTGAGGCAGGGGAATCACTTGAACCTGGGAGGCGGAGGTTGCAGTGAGCCAAAGTCATGCCATTGCACTCTAGCCTGGGCAACAAGAGCAAAACTCCGTCTCAAAGAAAAAACAAAAACAAAAATTATGGAACCTCATTAATAATCAAAGATGCAAGGAGACACCCTTATCTTGCCAGCAGCAACGCAAGTTGTTAAGGCCTTTTGGAGGGCAACTGGCAATATCTGCTGGCCTTCTAAATGTCCAGGACACAGAAATGCCATATCCGGCCGGGCGCAGTGGCTCAAGCCTGTAATCCCAGCACTTTGGGAGGCCGAGGCGGGTGGATCACAAGGTCAAGAGATCGAGACCAACCTTGGTCAACAAGGTGAAACCCTGTCTCTACTAGAAATACAAAAAATTAGCTGGGCATTGTGGTGCATGCCTGTAATCCCGGCTACTCAGGAGGCTGAGACAGGAGAATTGCCTGAACCCAGGAGGCGGAGGTTGCGGTGAGCCGAGATCGCGCCATTGCACTCCAGCCTGGGTAACAAAAGCGAAACTCCGTCTCAAGAAAAAAAAAAAAAAAGAAATGCCATATCCATGCTTTGCCTCACAGAAGACCTCTCAGGAGAGCCCCGTAAGGAAGATTATAGTAGTGATGTCTGTGATGGTGAGCGCTAGACAGCCCAAGTGTCCATCCATCAGGGACTGGGGTCATCGTGTGGTGCTCTCCACGCAATGGAACACTCCCCAGTTGGGTGTGTTCCATTGCTGGTGTGGAGAGACGCACGCCATATGCCGCTACTCCCCAGAGTAAATTGCAGGATGGTAAGTAGGCAAAGGCCTAGAAATGCAACCACAGCATCCACAGTTGGAGAGTCTACAGAATCGAGTAGGAGGCACCCACATTAGCCTGTGCACAGGGGTTCCCTCTGGCAGGTGGGGTTCAGGGGGACCCTCTATGGTTTGCATTTTATTTTATTTTATTTATTTATTTTTTTTGAGATGGAGTTTCGCTCATTACCCAGGCTGGAGTGCAATGGCATGATCTCAGCTCACTGCAACCTCCGCCTCCTGGGTTCAGGCAATTCTCCTGCCTCAGCCTCCTGAGTAGCTGGGATTACAGGCACGCGCCACCATGCCCAGCTAATTTTTTGTATTTTTAGTAGAGACGGGGTTTCACCATGTTGACCAGGATGGTCTCGATCTCTTGACCTCGTGACCCACCCGCCTCGGCCTCCCAAAGAGCTGGGATTACAGGCTTGAGCCACCGCGTCCGGCCGTATTTTTATTTTTTTTGCGACGAAGTCTAGCTCTTGTAGCCCAGCCTGGAGTGCAGTGGTGTCATCTTGGCCCACTGCAACCTCTGCCTCCTGGGTTCGCTCGATTCTCCTGCCTCAGCCTCCTGAGTAGCTGGGGTTACAGGCGCACACCACCACACCTGGCTAATTTTTGTATTTTTAGTAGAGACGGGGTTTCACCATGTTGGCCAGGCTGGTCTCAAGCTCCTGACCTCAGGTGATCCGCCCGCCTCGGCCTCCCACAGTGCTGGGATTCAGGCGTGAGCCACCGCGCCCGGCCAGGTTTGCATTTTATAATTGCCCCTACCCCACCCTGCTACCTTCTCAGCCTTGGTCATCAGGCCTGTCACCATCTGCCGGCCCACTTTCCCGAAGAAAAGCTGGTTGCTCTTGTCTTCCAGAAGCCCCTGGGGAAGGAGGGAGGGAGAGGAGTGAGCTGCTGGCGTGGCAGTCCCTCAAAGCCCATGGAGAGGGCCACAGAAGAGGCCAGGTAGGTTGCCCACCTGCCACAGAGGAGCCCAGGGTGGGAGCAGGGCTGGCCAGGGACCAGGAGGCCACGTACATGCCACACAGCCGTGGCCGGCCTGACCGCCCCTCGCCTCCCACCCCCGCGGAGCCCCCAGGCCACACCCACCTCGAAGGCCTGCCGCACACAGTGCAGCTTGGCCAGAAAGTCCTGGTCGCTGTAGCAGCCCAGCAGCTCCGTCCTGAGGGGAGGACAGATGGCGTCACACAACCTGGTCCCTGCCCAGTGATGCCCCGGGGGGTCAGGTGGCACCTGAGTGGGGAGGGGAGAGGCTCTGGCTCCAGCCCTGGCCCTGCCTCAGCCTGGCAGTGTGACCTCTGGCTGGTGCCTGCCTCCCTTGAGGCCTTGGTCTTCCCAGGCCACAGGACGAGTCTGCCTGGATGAGCTATGAGGACATGTCGGCCTCTCAGGCACTGGGTTACAGAGATGACCGAGGCCTGCTTAGGCCACAACCCGCCCCACACTTCACTGGCAAAGGACTGAAATGGCCAAACTGCCTCCTGATGGCAGATGTGGTGAACCACCCAGCAGGGTGGCCACCCTTCATCTAAATCACCTCGGCGTCAGCCAGTGTCTGATTCGTTCCTGGTCAGTGAACTTTTTGTTTTTTTTAAGAAGGAGTCTCACTCTGTCACCCAGGCTGGAGTGCAGTGGTGCCATCTCAGCGTACTACATCCTCCACCTCCCAGGTTCAAGCAATTCTCCTGCCTCAAACTCTCAAGAAGCTAGGATTATAGGCACGTACCACCGCACCCCACCTAATTTTTATATTTTTAGTGGAGATGGGATTTCACCATGTTGGCCAGGTTGGTCTTGAACTCTTGACCTTAAGTGATCCACCTGCCTTGGCCTCCCAAAGTGCTGGGATTACAGGCATGAGCCAGAGCCTGCCCAGTTTTTTGGCTTTTTTTTTTTTTTTTTTTGAGATGGAGTCTCACTGTGTTGCCCAGGCTGGAGTGCAGTGGGGTGATCTCCACTCACTGCAGCTTCTGCCTCCCAGGTTCAAGCGATCCTCCTGTCTCAGCATCCCAAGTAGCTAGGACTGAAGGTACATGCCGCCATGCCCGTATTTTTAGTAGAGGTGGAGTTTGTACTATATTGGCCAGGCTGGTCTCGGACTCCTGACCTCAGGTGATCTGCCTGCCTCGGCTTCCCAAAGTGCTGGGATTAACAGACATCAGCCACTGCATACAGCTCCAGGTTCACTTTTAAACACACATACTGAAATCCGCAAGCCATAATCAAAAACCCAAGTTCTCAGGCCCGGCACAGTGGCTCAGTGAGCCTGTAGTCCCCATCCTTTGCAGGGGCCAAGGTGGGTGGATCACTTGAGGTCAGGAGTTTGAAACCAGGCTGGCCAACACAGTGAAATCCCATCTCTACTAAAAATACAAAAAAAAAAGTTTTCAGTCTCTTATCATACAAAAAAGTTAATTTAAGATGGTGGAGAGGCCTAAATATAACCACAAACAAGAAAACTGAGGCTAAGAGAAGTTAAGTGACTTGTTACGGGCAGCAGAACTTGGAGGCGCCCGGGTCTGCCTGTCCCCAAAGCCTGGGTTCCTGACCCTCCTATCGAGGAGCTGCCTCCAGACCCTGCACTTAGGACCAGCACCTCCTGTGTAGCTGGACCCCCTGAGAATTCACTTTTGTTTTTATATGGAATGCTTGGGAAATCTGTGTGTCATCCTTGCACCGGGACCATGCTAATCTTCTCTGTACCATTCCTTTTTTTTTTTTTTGAGACGGAGTCTTGCCCGTTACTAAGGCTGGAGTGCAATGGCACGATCTCGGCTCACCGCAACCTCCGCCTCCTGGGTTCAGGCAATTCTCTTGCCTCAGCCTCCTGAGTAGCTAGGATTACAAGCACATGCCACCATGCCCAGCTAATTTTTAGTAGAGACAGGGTTTCACCATGTTGACCAGGATGGTCTCCATCTCTTGACCTCGTGATCCACCTGCCTCGGCCTCCCGAAGTGCTGGGATTACAGGCTTGAGCCACCGCACCCAGCCCTTTTTTTTTTTTTTTTTTTTTTTGAGACGGAGTCTTGCTCTGTTGCCCAGGCTGGAGTGCAGTGGCATAATCTTGGCTCACTGTAACCTCCACCTGCCAGGTTCAAGCAATTCTCCTGCCTCAGCCTCCTGAGTAGCTGGGATTACAGGTGTGAGCCACTACACCTGGCTAATTTTTATATTTTTAGAAGAGACGGGGTTTCACCATGTTGGTCAGGCTGATCTCGAACTCCTGACCACGTGATCTGCCTGCCTCAGGCTCCCAATGTGCTGGGATTACAGGCATGAGCCACCGTGCTGGGCCCATTCCAATTTTTTTTTTTTTTTTTTAGTGTATGTGCTGTAGAAGCAAATAGCCTCTCAGAATTTAGAACAGATATTAACTATTGTTCTTTATAAATTATGTCCATTTATTACTGTCATTATTGATACCAGACCTGCCAGTATGGGTCCATCCAGGCCCTCTGCAGCTGGGGGAGGAGCTGTCGCCAGCTCACCACAGCCCCCAGGCAGCCTGGACTCACTCAGGCTGAGTCCTCACCAAACACCACTGGCTTCTCCGCCTCCCACAAGGGCCAGGGTCACCCACTGCCTCCTGTCCCTTCCCTCGCTCCACCCCTGCTCACCTGAGGGTCCGGCAGAGCACTTTCCCCTCCTTCACCAGCTGCAGGGCCTCCTCGTAGGCAGCAGCAGGCCTGGAGAGTGGGATCGGGTAATCTCCGGCCTGCAGGGACTCGAAGAGCTGGAGGAGGGTGCAGAAGAGGGGGCCGGGGAAGCCCGCGTGAGCAGCAGGCTGCGGCTAGAGGGGGCCTGCTCGTCAGGCAGCCACAGTGGCCACCCCAGGTGCCTGCCCACTGCCAATCTCCCTGAGGGGATGTCGGAGGGAACTGGCCAGGAGGCCCCAGTTCCAGCCCAGCTCTGGCCCTTAGTATCCCCATCTCCAGGGCACCTTCCGAAAGAGGTCACCTAAAGGGCACATGTACATGTCCTCCCGTGCCTGATCCACGTGCCCATGGCAGGAGACTGAGGCCAAGCAATGGGCACAGCGGTCTGGAGGAGGGAGAGGCTGACACAGCTGGAGCCCTTTGGGGCAGAAGCCCTGGTCTCACCCACAGGACAATGGCCCCAATTTCTCAGCCCTCCCCCCATCCCCGACAGCTTCAGGGAGGCCCGTGGGAGCATCCAAATTCTGCTCCCGTTGGAGGAAATGCCTCCACTTTCCCATGACCCAGTGCCGGCCCCATGAGCCTGTAGAAGAGGCCTGGCCTTCACCCTACCCTAAGTCACCTCGGTGGCGGAGAAGAAGGAATCCTCTGAGGTCAGGCTGTCCTCGTCATCCGGCCGCAGCCGCAGCGAGCCCTCGGTCAGGGGCAGCATGAGGGTCCTCTCTGGGAAGAGTGGCGAGAGAGGGAGGGGCTGAGACTCCCAGCACAGTGCTCAGCGGGAATCCCAGTACCCAAAGCCCCCACCAGGCCCAGGGGAGGCTTCGTCCCCGGTCTGCGATGCCCATGCTCAGGGGCAAAGCTCTGACATGCCGAGTGCTTCTGTGTGAAGACACTGGACTCGTCGCCCCAATGAGTGACCTCCTTCAATCACCACGACATCCTCAGAGGTGGTCAGCCTCAGGTGCGGGCTCTCGGCTGGTGAGTGGCTCTGCCAGGCTCACAAGTCGCACTGCTAGACCTGAGGTCTGAAGGCCCCCGAGCCCTGCAGGGGAGGACGGCTGCACTGTGTGGCCCTGGACAAGCCACTGACAAGCTGAAACTCAGCCACTGATGCCAAGGGTTCGAGAGAGTCCACGGCCACTCACCTGGGGTCCCCTCCCTGCTCCGCCAAGGGCTGAGGGGTGTGGACCTCCGGGGTGCTCAGGAAAAATCTGGTGAGCAAGTAAGCAAAGGCCACAGACCTGCAGCGGGAAGGTCCCCCCAGCCCTTTCTACCACATAGGGAGGCCACAGAGGCAGATTCCACCAACAGAGAAGCCACGCAGAAAGCAGGTGGGGAGAAGCCAGGGCAGGGCTGTCCCAACCCACCCCAGTTCTGTGTCCCCACTGGCAGAGGCAGGGAGCTAGACCCTCAGGAATCTGATACTATCCCTGACAGGGCTGAGTGCACAGGGAGGGACCCAGAGGTCATTCACTGCAGGGGTCCGGGACATGGTGAACACAGACAGGACAGTGGCTATTTGGCAGAACGACTTGGTTTCCCTCAGTAATGTCACATTTCACCTCCACCCACCCAGCAACAGAGCTCTGGTCTTGGCCCTGGGCCTGCTCTCAGTGAGCCTCCCAGGAGGCACCCCATCCATCCACACGGTTTGAGCCGCAGGAAGGGACTAAGAGAAGGCCTGGGAGAGCCATCAGGGAGATGCTGTCACACGAGCCCCAAGGTCGCACCCAAAGGGGACGGGGCCATCTGCACTTGCTGGGGATTCCCATGGCCTCCCTTCAGCTGTGCTCCAGCCTGCCATGGAGAAGGGAACACCTCAGTTTCCCCATCTGTGCAATAAGGTGCTGGATCACATGAGGTCCAAGAGCCCTGGGGATCCGGATTCATCGGATGCACTGAGGACCACGGCCCAGCTCTCGCACCTTCTCCTCACCTCCATCCCTGCCACCCTCCGTGCCCACCCGCCTGTGCCAGGCCCAGCTCACCGAGGTCCAGCAGCATGCTGTCTGCAGGGAAGGTGGAGCCGAACTCCTCCTGCAGGTGGTAGGCACGGTGCAGCAGGGACTCCAGCCTCTCCGCAAACTCCTTCCGCTGTGACTCTGGCTGTGGTAAAAACCATGAGCCTCAACCCAGACCCTCCAAGCTTCCCGTGAAAATAGCCCCTTCCCCGCCCCCAGGTCCCTGGGGAAAGGGGAGAAGCTCTGGGGCTCAGCAGCTAAGCACAGAGGCTCCAGACCTTCACTGCTCAATACAGGAGCCACCAGCCACATGTGGCAGCTGAGCACCAGAAACCCGAACAATCCCAGAGTCTAAATGCACACCAGATTCCAAACACCACACCAAAAAGCGTAGCCCATCCCAGGAATCTTTTCTGTTGATTCCACGCTGAAATGATCACATTTTGGATATACCAGGTTACATAAAGTACAGCCGACCCTTAAAAATGGTGGACTTAGGGTACCTGTGCCCACACAGTTAAAAATCCACATAAAACATTTTTTGTTTTTTTAGAGAGGGTCTCATTCTATCACCCAACCTACAGTGCAGTGGCACAACCACATCTAACCACAGCCTCAACCTCCTGAGTTCAAGTGGTCCTCCCGCCTCTGCCTCCATAGCAGGTAGGACTACAGGTATATGTCGCCATGCCCAGCTAATTTCTGTATTTCTTTTTTTGGTAGAGACGGGGTTTTGCCACGTTGCCCGGGCTGGTTCCAAACTTATGGGCTCAAGTACTCCTGCCTCAGCCTCCCAAAGTGCTGGGATTACAGGCGCCTGCCCCACATAGAACTTTTTTTCTTTCTTTTTTTTTTTTTTTTTTTTTTTTTGAGACGGAGTTTCACTCTTGTTACCCAGGCTGGAGTGCAATGGCGCGATCTCGGCTCACCGCAACCTCCGCCTCCTGGGTTCAGGCAATTCTCCTGTCTCTGCCTCCTGAGTAGCTGGGATTACAGGCATGCACCACCATGCCCAGCTAATTTTTTGTATTTTTAGTAGAGATGGGGTTTCACCTTGTTGACCAGGATGGTCTCGATCTCTTGACCTCGTGATCCACCCGCCTCAGCCTCCCAAAGTGCTGGGATTACAGGCTTGAGCCACCGCGCCTGGCCACATAGAACTTTTGACTCCTCCAAAGGTAGAGGGATTTCTTAGTAGGTTATTAACTACTAATTAATAACCTACTGTTGAGCAGAAGTCTTACTGAGAACATAGTCGATTAGCACATATTTTCTATGTTCTATGTATTATATGCTGTATCCTCACAACAAATTAAGCTAGAGAAAAGAAAATGTTATATCTTTTCCCCAGGGGGTGAAAGGGGTGGGAGGGTTGGGGAGCCAATAATATGTTATTAAAGAAATCATAAGTGGTCGGGCACGGTAGGTTATGCCTGTAATCCCAGCACTTTGGGAGGCTAAGGCAGGTGGGTCATGTGAGGTCAGGAGTTCAAGACCAGCCTGACCAACATGGTGAAACCCCATCCCTAAAATACAAAAAAAATTAGCCAGGCATGGTGGTGTGCGCCTATAGTCCCAGCTTACTCAGGAGGCTGAGACAGGAGAATTGCTTGAACCTGGGCGGTGGAGGCTGCAGTGAGCGGAGATCATGCCACTGCACTCCAGCCTGGGTGATGGAGCAAGACTCCATCTTAAAAACAAAAAAAAAGTCCGGGTGTGGTGGCTCAAGCCTGTAATCCCAGCACTTTGGGAGGCCGAGACGGGTGGATCACGAGGTCAAGAGATTGAGACCATGCTGAAACCCCGTCTCTAATTAAAAAAGAAAAGGAGGGCCGGGCGCGGTGGCTCAAGTGTGTAATCCCAGCACTTTGGGAGGCCAAGGCGGGTGGATCACGAGGTCAAGAGATCGAGACCATCCTGGTCAACATGGTGAAACCCCGTCTCTACTAAAAATACAAAAAATTAGCTGGGCATGGTGGCATGTGCCTGTAATCCAAGCTACTCAGGAGGCTGAGGCAGGAGAATTGCCTGAACCCAGGAGGCGGAGGTTGCGGTGAGCCGAGATCGCGCCATTGCACTCCAGCCTGGGTAACAACAGTGAAACTCCGCCTCAAAAAAAAAAAAACAAAAGGAAAAAGAAAAAATAAATAAATAAAATATTCACTGTAGAAAACTTGGGTGGTGCCCCCAAAAAAAAAAATTTAAAAAAAAAAAGGGCAGCCGGGTGCGGTGGCTCAAGCCTGTAATCCCAGCACTTTGGGAGGCCGAGGCGGGTGGATCACGAGGTCAAGAGATCGAGACCATCCTGGTCAACATGGTGAAACCCCATCTCTACTAAAAATACAAAAGATTAGCTGGGCATGGTGGCATGTGCCTGTAATCCAAGCTACTCAGGAGGCTGAGGCAGGAGAATTGCCTGAACCCAGGAGGCGGAGGTTGCGGTGAGCCGAGATCGCGCCATTGCACTCCAGCCTGGGTAACAACAGTGAAACTCCGCCTCAAAAAAAAAAAAAAAAAAAAAAAAAAGGGCTGGGCATGGTGGCTCACACCTGTAATCCCAGCACTTTGGGAGGCCAAGGCAGGTGAATCACAAGGTCAGGAGTTTGAGACCAGCCTGTCCAACATGGTGAAACCCCGTCTCTACTAAAAATACAAAACATTAGCTGGGTGTGGTCATGGGCACCTGTAATCCCAGATATTCAGGAGGCTGAGGCAGGAGAACCCAGGAGGTGGAGATTGCAGTGAGGTGAGATCGTGCCACTGCACTCCAGCCAGGGTGACAGTGTGATACTCTGTCCCAATAAAAAAAAAAAGGTCTGGCAATGCAGCCAACTCTCAACAGAAGCGTCTTCCCTTCCAGTCTTTCAGGACGGCACATTGCCCTTCACGGGGTTGACAGGGGTGTGATTCTCAGCACAGCTGTTTACCAAGCACCAGGCATCATGCTGAGCATGTGACATGAATTGTTTTGTTAACATCTTCATAGAGGGAAATCCACAGTCCCAGAGGACAGGAGCCTGTCTGCCTCCCAAAGGGTGGCTGCCTCTCTCCTGTGCTGCCAACCTTCTCCCATGGGTGCAGGGGGACACAGAAGACCACCTACCTCAGATAGTGGCTCTGACACAGTCTCCGGGTTCCGAAGGCCATCCCCCGGCGTGGGGGTGCTGCCGCTGTCCCCCCTCTGGCCCACGCTTAGTGCTTGCTCCCACTTCTGTAGAGCCTCCTCAAACAGCTCCATGCCTGAGCATGGGTGAGACGAGAAGGGAGAGTCAACCCCCGCACAGTCTTACCCAAGACGGGACTCAGAACATCAAGAAGGCAAGAGGGCCTTGAAGGGCAAGACCTGGGTGGGGTCACGTGGCCAGGGCAGCTCAGGTTCCAGGCCTTCTTTCAGACCAGGTTTGTTCCTAGACACTGTCCCTTGTTCAGAAATGGCTGGAAATCACCCAATTGTGATTTGGGGCAGCATAGTGAGGGGCAAAGTGACCCGAGCCTGGCCAGGCTCCTAGGAAGGGACCTTTCCTGCCACCCACCCTGCCCTTGAAGCTCAGGCACCTCCTGGCCACACCTTGCATGTAGAGGCTCTCCACATTGCCATCGCTGGTGGTCAGAGACTCCTCCATCCCTCTGGCATCCCACGGTCCCGAGCACGCAGCTGTGGGGCTGGATGAGTTCACTGCCACCATCTGGGCACCAATCAGTACAAGAACAAAGAATGAAGCCTTCCCGGACCCTCTGCAGGGCCCCTCAAGCCCTCACCCACTGCCTGACCATGAGCTACACACCCCCTCCAAATGCCAACCCCAAGCTCATCCCTGGCCACAGCACCCACACCCTCAGAATGGCCTAGAACCACAAACTCCAAGTGTCCGATGCTGCCTCATAGAAGCCACCAAAGCAGAAAGGAATCCTCAGACCAACACCCAGCCCAGGAACCTGTGAACCCCCCTGAGCCTGCTCCTCACTGGTGTGTCCATCCCCTACTCCACGGTTCTTCTACCTCTTGGACAAGAACACAGTAAGTACCCATTCTGGGCCAGGGCCCTGCCTCTCATCCACACGAGCAGCCACTCACCCCACTGGGCTCTGGGCACCCCCAGCTCTTGCTTGCCCCTGTGCCAGCCTGGCTCCGAGTTGGGACTCTGCTTGCTGAACCAAAAGCCACACCCCAGGAGAAGCCAACCTGTGTCTTATTTATCTCCACACCCCCAGTGCCCGGCAGAGTCCCTGGTATAACACAGGTGCTTGGCAGTGGCTGCTGAATGAACAAGCTGCACTTTCACAGCAACGGGTCTCCTCAAGAGACCATCAGTTTCTCTCCTCTGCACCTGCCCACCTTTCTCCCAACACCTGGCACAGTGAGTGATTAGGGACAATCCCTGAAAACCTTCATGGGTAGAGGAGTGAGAGAGAGTAAGTGAATGAGTGAATGAATGAATCTCCACCTCCCTTCACTCTACCAAGCTGCCTTAAGCTTGCTTAAGGCAGAGTCCTCAGGAGGGGTAAGCCTGATGTCCTGGGGCCCTGTCTGCCCCGGAGCCCTGGCCTACCACCTGCTGCTCACCGAGGCCACGCTGTGGGAAGAGCCCGAGTGCTTGCTAGGCTCAATGGAAGAGATGCCGCTCAGGGTGTCGTTGCTCTTGCTGCTGGGGCTCTGGACTCTCCGGCTAGAGTATCCTGCAAGGAGCAGAAGGGCAGGCGTCGCACAGGCATCCTATGTGGCCCTTGTACAGGCTGCTCCCCTGCTGGGCCACCTTCCCCTTCTTCCTCATCTCGGAACCGGTCCTGACCTTCTAAGTAGGGTAACAGCGGGACCCCGAGGGTGTGCACTGAGCAGAACAGGGTTTCGCCATGTTAGCCAAGCTGGTCTTGAACTCCTGGGGCTCAAGCAATACCTTGGCCTCCCAAAGTGCAGGATTATAGGCATGAGCCACCATGCCCCACCTTTTGCATATTTTTAAAAGTTGTTGCCTCATATCCCTTTTGGAAGGTGGAAAATTCTAAACCAGTCGCTCAATCAGCAGCCCAGAGAAGGCTAAGTGAAGAGGCAGAAAAGCAGATGAACCTCGTTCTCAGCTTGTCTGGCAGATTCTGGGCTCCTCCCCTGGGCCTGGGCCTGTACCCAGTGGCAGGGAGTGGCAGGGATGTGATCGTGAGCAGGACAAGGAGGGCCCTGCGCTCTTCTGTTGCTCCAGCCTGGGCAACAACAGGGTCAGACTCTGTCTCAAAAAAAAAATAAAAAGTTGTTTTTTTGTGAGACAGTTTCGCTCTTCTTGCCCAGGCTGGAGTGCAATGGTACAATCTCAGCTCACCACAACTTCTGCCTCCTGGTTCAAGCGATTCTCCTGCCTCAGCCTCCCGCCGAGTAGCTGGGATAACAGACATGCGCCACCACACCTGGCTAGTTTTGTATTTTTAGTAGACATGGGGTTTCTCCATGTTGGTCAGGCTGGTCTCGAACTCCCAACCTCAGGTGATCCATCTGTCTTAGCCTCCCAGTGATGGGATAACAAGCATGAACCACCATCCCTGGCATAAAAATTTTTAAATAAAATACACATGAAAGGTTATTTTTTAAAATAGAGACAGGGCTGGGTGCAGTGCCTCATGCCTGTTATCCCAGCACTTTGAGAGGCCAAGGCAGGCAGATCACATGAGGTTAGGAGTTCAAAACCAGCCCGGCCCACATGGTGAAACCCCATCTCTTCTAAAAATACAAAAAATTAGATAGGTGTGGTGGCACCTGCTTGTAATCCCAGCCACTTGGGAGGCTGAGGCAGGAGAATCCTCGAACACAGGAAGCAGAGGCTGCAATGAACTGAGATTGTGCCAATGCACTCCAGCTTAAGTGACAGAGTGAGACTCTGTCTCAAACAAAATAAAACAAAAAAAGCCAGGTATGGTGGTGCACGCCTGTACTCCCAACTTCTGGGATGTGAAGGCAGGCAGATCACTTGAGGTCAGGAGTTCAAGACCAGCCTGGCCAACATAGTAAACCCCCCATCTCGAGTAAAAATATAAAATTAGCCAGGTGTGGTGACTTGCGCCTGTAATCTCAGATACTGGAGTGGCTGAGGCAGGAGAATCACTTGAACCTGGAAATCAGAGGTTACAGTGAGCTGAGATTGCACCACTGCACTCCAGTCTAGGTGACACAGCGAGACTCTGTCTCCAAAAAAAAAAGAGAGAGAGAGGGAGAGACAGCGCCTCCATATATCACCCGGGCTGGTCTCAAACTCCTGGGCTCAAGTGATCCACCAGCCTTGGTCTCCAAAAGTGCTGGGATGACGGGTACAAGCCACCACACATGGTCAAGATTTTTTAGAAGTAAGCAAAGTAGGGAAGAGAAAATACAGTGAAATAAGAGCCGGCAGAAAGGGACAGTGCATGGAAGCTAAAGGCTGTGCAGATGACGCCAGGCTTCCCAGGACAACCGGAAACTCAGCTGCCTCGGCCTCTCAGGGTCCCCTTTTATATTAGTCTCAAGACTTCTTTTTCCGGCCAGGGTCGGTGACTCACACCTATAATCCTCACACTTTGGGAGGCCAAGGCAGGGGGATGACGAGGTCAGGAGTTCAAGATCAGCCTGACTAACATGATGAAACCCCGTCTCTACTAAATACGCAAAAAAATTAGCCAGGCATGGTGGCATTCACCTGTAATCCCAGCTACCTGGGAGGCTGAGGTAGGGGAATTGCTTGAACCACCGAGGCAGAGGTTGTGGAGGTTGCAGTGAGCCAAGATTGCACCACTGCACTCCAGCCTGGGCGATGGAGTAAGACTGTCTCAAAAAAAAAAAGACTTCTTTTTCCAATTCTTTTTTGAGACAGTCTGGCTCTGTCACCAGGCACAATCTTGGCTCACTGCATCCCAGGTTCAAGCAATTCCCCTCCCACAGCCTCCCAAGTAGCTGGGATTACAGGCTTGTGACACCACCTCTGGCTAATTTTTGTATTTTTAGTAGAGATGGAGTTTCACCAAGTTGGCCAGGATGGTCTCGATCTCTTGACCTCATGATCCGCCCACGGTGCCCTCCCAAAGTGCTGGGACTACAGGCGTGAGCCACCACGCCCAGCCGCTTTTTTTCCAATTCTAAAGATAATACTTTCCTTTTGCAACAATAATACACAATTCAAATTTATTTTCACAGAAGGAGGCTTTTGCTTTTTCTTATTTATTTATTTTTTTTAATAGAAACAGGACCTCTCTATGTTGTCCAGGCTGGTCTTGAACTCCTGGCCTCAAAGAATCCTCCTGCCTCCCAAAGTGCTGGAATTACAGGTATGAGCCACCACACCTGGCCAACTTTTGTTTCTTTCTCTTTTAAAAAAAAATTATTTAGATCATATCCAGTTTGGGAAAAAAGAAATTAAAAAATAAAAAATAAATTGTTTAGAGAAACATGCCGGGCATGGTGGCTCATGCCTGTAATCCCAGCACTTTGGGAGGCCGAGGTGGGTGGATCACGAGGTCAGGAGTTCGAGACCAGCCTGATCAACATGGTGAAACCCCGTCTTTAAAAAAAAAAAAAAAAGGGGCCAGGCGCGGTGGCTCACGTCTGTAATCCCAGCACTTTGGGAGGCCGAGGCAGGCGGATCATAAGGTCAAGAGATCGAGACCATCCTGGTCAACATAGTGAAACCCCGTCCTACCAAAAATACAAAAAATTAGCTGGGCATGGTGGCGCGTGCCTGTAATCCCAGCTACTCAGGAGGCTGAGGCAGGAGAATTGCCTGAACCCAGGAGGCGGAGGTTGCGGTGAGCCGAGATCGCGCCATTGCACTCCAGCCTGGGGTAACAAGAGCAAAACTCCGTCCCAAAAAAAAAAAAAAGAGAGAGAGAAACAGGGTTTCCCTATGTTGCCCAGGATAGTCTCAAACTCCTGTACTCAAATGATCCTCCCACCTTGGCATCCCAAAGCACTGGAATTACAGGTGTGAGTCTCCATATCCCCCCGCTTTTTTTTCCCTTCAAGACGGAGTTTCATTCTTGTTGCCCAGGCTGGAGTGCAACGGCATGATCTCGGCTCACTGCAACCTCTGCCTCCCAGCTTCAAGTGATTCTCCTGCCTCAGCCTCCCTAGTAGCTGGGATTACAGGTGCACACCGCCATGCTGTGCTAATTTTTTTTTGTATTTTTAGTAGAGACAGTTTTGCCACATTGGCCAGGCTGGTCTTGAACTCCTGAGCTCAGGTAATCCACCTACCCTCGCCTCCCAAAGTGCTGGGATTACAGGTGTGAGCCACTGCACCTGGCCTTGGCCTTTTTTTTTTTTTTTTTTTTTTGATATGGAGTCTCACTTTTATTGCCCAGGCTGGAGTACAATGGTGCAATCTCCGTTTACGGCAACCTCCACCTCCCGGGTTCAAGTGATTCTCCTGCCTCAGCCTCCCAAGTAGCTGGAATTACAGGCACCCGCTACCACGCCCGGCTAATTTTTTGTATTTTTAGTAGAGACAGGGTTTCACTATGTTGATCAGGCTAGTCATGAACTCCTGACCTCAGACGATCCACCCACCTTAGCCTCCCAAAGTGCTGGGATTACAGACATGAGCCACAGTGCCTGGACTCTCTTTTTTTTTTTTTTTTTGAGACAGTCTCAGCCGGGCGCGGTGGCTCAAGCCTGTAATCCCAGCACTTTGGGAGGCCGAGGCGGGTGGATCACGAGGTCGAGAGATCGAGACCATCCTGGTCAACATGGTGAAACCCCGTCTCTACTAAAAATACAAAAAACTAGCTGGGCGTGGTGGCACGTGCCTGTAATCCCAGCTACTCAGGAGGCTGAGGCAGGAGAATTGCCTGAGCCCAGGAGGCGGAGGTTGCGGTGAGCCGAGATCGCGCCATTCCACCCCAGCCTGGGTAACAAGAGCGAAACTCCGTCTCAAAAAAAAAAAAAAAAAAAAAAGAGACAGCCTCTGTTCATAGCCCAAGCTGGAGTGATCTCAACTCACTGCAACTTCCCCTACCTGGGTTCAAGCAATCTTCCTGCCTCAGCCACCTGAGTAGCTGGGATTACAAGCATGCAACACCGAGCCTGACTAATTTTTGTATTTTTGGTAGTGGGGGATTTCACCATATTGGCCAGGCTGGTCTCGAACTCCTGACCTCAGGTGATTGGCCCACCGCAGCCTCCCAAAGTGCTGGGATTACAGGCTTCAGCCACCGAGCCCAGCCTGCCGTACAAGTTTTTTACAACCACACCAGCAGCCACAAAGCTGATCAGTGACTACCAGAGCTGGAGTAGGAGGGGGGCTGACTAAGGACGCAGGGCATTTAGGCATTTAGAAAGTAACGGAACAGTTTTTTTTAATTTTTATATTTTTTTAGTTTTTTTTCTTTAAGACTAGTTAAGTATAGCAGTGAGAAGCAGGGAAAAAGAGTAGAAGGATGGCTGGGCACAGTAGTTCACGCCTGTAATCCCAGCACTTTGGGAAGGCCGAGGCAGGCAGATCACCTGAGCTCAAGAGTTCGAGACCATCTTGGCCAACATGGTGAAACCCCATCTCTACTAAAAATGCAAAAATTAGCCAGGCATGGTGGCACATGCCTGTAGTCCCAGTTACTCGAGAGCCTGAGGCAGGAGAATCACTTGAACCTGGGAGGCAGAGGTTGCAGTGAACCAAGATCTCGACATCGCCCTCCAGCCTGGGTGGCAGAGTGAGACTCCACGTCAAAAAAAAAAAAAGAGCGTCGAAGGAGGAGTGTGATCTGTGACTGAGCAATCGACTGAATGAACTCACTACCTTCCAACCAGCTGAATGATTCCTAACCATGGTGGTGATCAGATGATTCCACATGTGTGAAAGACCACACAACAGTATGCTAAAAAGCCTGAATCTTAGTGCATGCAAATTAAACCTCATTTTTTTTTTTTTTTTTTTTTTTTTCTGTATTTTTAGTAGAGACAGGGTTTCACTATGTTGGCCAGGCTGGTCTTGAACGCTTGGACTCAAGTGATTCACTCACCTCGGCCTCCCAAAGAGCTGGGATTACAGGGGGTGAGCCACCGTGCCCAACCCTTAAACCTCAATTTTTAAGAGAGAAGGGGACGGGAGGAATCCTGCATGGTTCAAGAACCACACGGCTCTTCCTGCTCCTCAGCCTGTGGAACATCTCTCTCTGGACCCAGGAGCCACACCCCCGACCCCCTCTGGACCCAGGTGCTCCCAAAGGGTCCCCAGCCAATGAGAACAACCAAAACCACCACCACCGACAGAGCACATGCGTCCAACAGCGTCACCCTCCACTGCAGTGACTGGAGGAAGGAACGCTACTGTCATCCTACTCATGGAGGAGGGGACCTTGGCTCTGACACAGGAGTCACTAGCCCAAGATCCCAGGGCAGAGAGTGGCCCAGCTGGGCTATGACCCCAGGATGTCACCCCAGGTCAGGCCATGCCCACCACCTCACACCTACCTTTCTTCATGGAAGGGACCTTCCTGGCCATGAGGATGGGGATGGGCACCGCGGCCAGTTGCTCTCCTCCCATCTCGGGGCCAACCTGCTTTCTTCCTCCTCCGTCGCCTCTTCAGCTGGTGGGCAGCCAGGGCCAGGGCCACAGTCCCTAGGGCTGTGGCAAAGAGGACTTTCCGCAGGCCTGGCGTCAAACGTAGCTGAGAGAATGCAGACTGCAGGGAAGAGGGGGTGCAGCCGGTTATAACTCCCTGGGCAAGGTCCAAGGCAACAGGCCCGCCCCAGGGCACCTCAGGGACAGGACGCACACCGCCCTCCATACACATCTGCTGCCCAGAGGCAGTGACTGAGAGGCAGCTGCCCTAGACAGGGAAACTGACCAGCCTCCCGGTAACACAGACCACAAAGACATTAAGATGGCAAGATGCGGCCGGGCGTGGTGGCTCAAGCCTGTAATCCCAGCTACTCAGGAGGCTGAGGCAGGAGAATTGCCTGAACCCAGGGGGCGGAGGTTGCGGTGAGCCAAGATCGCGCCATTGCACTCCAGCCTGGGTAACAAGAGTGAAACTCCGTCTCAAAAAAAAAAAAGATGGCAAGATGCCCGTGCCGAGGAGGTGACGTCTGGGCTCCGGCACCCAAGATCACACTAGCTACAGTGAGTAAGCTAGGACCTAGCCTGGGGCACCCATCTGAGTCCCCATCATTTCCAGACGAGGAACCTGAGGCTTGTCCAGGTGAAGATATGTGCTCAAGGTGACAGAGACAGACATGAAACCCAGATTTGCTGGCCTGTTTCTTAGCGATCCCTCAGAGATGACCCTTACTCACCCGCCACCTCATCTGAACACTTCCTTCGGCTGCACCCTCACCCTCTGACCCCAGGAGGACTGCCCCTCAGGTGGGACTGTACCCCACAGGACAGAGCTTTAAGAAGGGTCAAGAGGCCAGGCGCGGTGGCTCACGCCTGTAATCCCAGCACTTTGGGAAGCCGAGGAGAGTGGATCACGAGGTCAAGAGAACAAGACCATCCTGGTCAACATGGTGAAACCCCATCTCTACTAAAAATACAAAAAATTAGGCCGGGCGTGGTGGCTCAAGCCTGTAATCCCAGCACTTTGGGAGGCCGAGGCGGGTGGATCACGAGGTCGAGAGATCGAGACCATCCTGGTCAACATGGTGAAACCCCGTCTCTACTAAAAATACAAAAAATTAGCTGGGCATGGTGGCGCGTGCCTATAATCCCAGCTACTCAGGAGGCTGAGGCAGGAGAATTGCCTGAACCCAGGAGGCGGAGGTTGCGGTGAGCCAAGATCACGTCATTGCACTCCAGCCTGGGTAACAAGAGCGAAACTCTGTCTCAAAAAAAAAAAATACAAAAAATTAGCTGGGCATGGTGGCGGGTGCCTGTAATCCCAGCTACTCAGGAGGCTGAGGCAGGAGAATCTCCTGAACCCAGGAGGCAGAGGTTTCGGTGAGCCGAGATTGCGCCATTGCACTCCAGCCTGGGTAACAAGAGCGAAACTCTGTCTCCAAAAAAAAAAAAAAGAAGGGTCAAGAGCCCAGTCAGCCATAAATATGGGAGTTGTCAGCGAGGGCATTATTGACCTTTTTTTTAGACTGAATAACTGAGGTCAAGAGTTCATATAGGTCCAGGTGCAGAGGCTCATGCCTGTAATCCCAGCACTTTGGGAGGCCAAGGTGAGTGGATGGCTTGAGCCCAGGAGTTTAAGACCAGCCTAGGCAACACAGCAAGACCCCATTTCTATTAAAAAAAAAAAAAAAAAAAAAAAATTTTTTTTCTTTTTTTTTTTTTTTTTTGAGACAAAGTCTTACTCTGTCACCCAGGCTGGAGTGCAGTGGCATGATCTCGGCTCACTGCAGCCTCCACCTCCCAGGTTCAAGCAGTCTTCCTGCCTCAGCCTCCCAACTGGCTGAGACTACAGGCACCATGCCTGGATAATTTTTGTATTTTTTCTTTTAAACAATAACTGACTTTATTTTATTTTATTTTATTTATTTTTTATTTATTTTTAAAGATGGGGTTTCACCATATTGGTCAGGCTGGTCTCGAACTCCTGACCTCAGGTGATCCGCCCACCTCAGCCTCCCAAAGTGCTGGGATTACAGGCATGCGCCACCGCGCCCGGTAATTTTTTTTTTTTTTTTTTTTTATCGGAGTTTCACTCTTGTTACCCAGGCTGGAGTGCAATGGCGCGATCTCGGCTCACCGCAACCCCCGCCTCCTGGGTTCAAGCAATTCTCCTGCCTCAGCCTCCTGAGTAGCTGGGATTACAGGCACACGCCACCATGCCCAGCTGATTTTTTTTTGTTTTTTTTTGTTTTTTGTTTTTTGTTTTTTTGAGACGGAGTTTCATTCTTGTTACCCAGGCTGGAGTGCAATGGCGCGATCTCGGCTCACTACAACCTCCGCCTCCTGGGTTCAAGCAATTCTCCTGCCTCAGCCTCCTGAGTACCTGGGATTACAGGCACGTGCCACCATGCCCAGCTAATTTTTTGTATCTTTAGTAGAGACGGGGTTTCACCATGTTGACCAGGATGGTCTCGATCTCTTGACCTCGTGATCCACCCGCCTCAGCCTCCCAAAGTGCTGGGATTACAGGCTTGACCCACCGCGCCCGGCTTTTTTTTGTATTTTTAGTAGAGACGGGGTTTCACCATGTTGACCGGGATGGTCTTGATCTCTCGACCTCGTGATCCACCCGCCTCGGCCTCCCAAAGTGCTGGGATTACAGGCTTGAGCCACCGCGCCCGGCCAAGTAATTTTTGTATTTTTAGTAGAGACAGGGTATCATCATATTGGTCAGGCTGGTCTTGAACTCCTGACGACAGGTGATCTGCCCCCCCTCAGCCCCCAAAGTGCTGGGATTATAGGCATGAGCCACTGTGCCCAGCCAAAACAATTTTTTAAATTAATTTTTTTAAAAAAGAGTTTATATAGTCTCAGGGTAACGAATAGGCCTGAAGCCCCAGACAGCAAACCCCATCCAGAGGAGACACCACACACCTAGGAAAGCAAGAGTGAGGACTCCGCGCTCCTGTACCCGGAGGGGCTCTGGGCTGGGCATTGAAGTGTTTCACAGATCAAAAGTACAACCCACCCCATCCTCACCTGCCCAAACGTCGTGTAGAGGAACACGGGGATCTCGGCCACGGTCATGGCCAGGGCCTGGATCATGGACGTGCCCTCAGCCCTCCGGAACGCCATGGCAGGGCCAATGCCCCCGGCAAAGCCCTCAGGGCCAAGAGCTTCCAAGGAGAACGTCTTCAACTGGTTGCCAGCTGGGTCCTGGGCACCATCCACACCCCAGAAGGACAGGGACGCACATACCAGAGGGCCCCTCCGCAGAGCTAAGAGACAGATGACCAAGTCAGACAAGAGAATGTACACACAGAAATGTACACAAGAGCTCCATGGGGGATGAGGCGGGAGCAAACCTTGCATCTGGAACCCCAGGCCTGGAATCAGGTCCCAGGCCTCTGCCTGGGGCAGCCCCACGCCCACGGACCCTCCGACTACCAGGGACCCTGTGAACAGGAACATTTCTGGCCGGCCAGCCCTGGAGAGGACCCAAAACCTGGAGCTGAACAGGTCACTCTTGAACTCAGGGCTTTAAACCACATTTTCTCTACCTCTTTCAAACCATGGACCATTTGCTAAGTAAAGATGTCAGGCACCAGACTAAGAATCGTTGCATCACAAAGTCAAGAATGTTTTCGCCGAACGCGGTGGCTCAAGCCTGTAATCCCAGCACTTTGGGAGGCCGAGGCGGGTGGATCATGAGGTCGAGAGATCGAGACCATCCTGGTCAACATGGTGAAACCCCGTCTCTACTAAAAGTGCAAAAAATTAGCTGGGCATGGTGGCACGTGCCTGTAATCCCAGCTACTCAGGAGGCTGAGGCAGGAGAATTGCCTGAAGCCCAGGAGGCGGAGGTTGCGGTGAGCCGAGATCGTGCCATTGCACTCCAGCCTGGGTAACAAGGGCGAAACTCCGTCTCAAAAAAAAAAAAAATGTTTTCTTTCCAGTGGACTGTTGAAGACAGCAGAATATCTATCTCCCTGGATAAGAAAAGCTACTCCAGGCCAGGCACGGTGGCCTCACACCTGTAATCCCAGCACTTTGGAAGGCTGAGGCAGGCAGATCACTTGAGGTCAGAAGTTCAAGATCAGCCTGGCCAACACAGAAAAACCCCATCTCTACTAAAAATACAAAATTGGCCAGGTGCAGTGGCTCACACCTGTAATCCAGGTAGTTTGGGTGGCCGAGGTGGGTGGATCACCTGTGGTCAGGAGTCTGAGACCAGCCTGGCCAACATGATGAAACCCCATCTCTACTAAAAATACAAACAATATCTGGGTGAGGTGGCCTGCACCTGTAATCCCAGCCTACTCAAGAGGCTGAGGCAGGATAATCGCTTGAACCTGGAGGCGGAGGCTGCAGTGAGCCAAGATTGCGCCACTGCACTCTAGCCTGGGCAAGAAGAGCAAAACTCCACCTCAAAAAAATAAAAAACAAAAGAAAAAAACCTCTCTCTGAAGGCACCATGGAAGGAAATAAATAAATAAATAAATATAAAAGACAAAAACTAGGCCGGGTGCGGTGGCTCAAGCCTGTAATCCCAGCACTTTGGGAGGCCGAGGCGGGTGGATCACGAGGTAGAAAGATCGAGACCATCCTGGTCAACATGGTGAAACCACGTCTCTACTAAAAATACAAAAAATTAGCTGGGCATGGTGGCTGCGTGCCTGTAATCCCAGCTACTCAGGAGGCTGAGGCAGGAGAATTGCCTGAACCCAAGAGGCGGAGGTTGCGGTGAGCCGAGATCGCGTCATTGCACTCCTAGCCTGGGTAATAAGAGCGAAACTCCAGTCTCAAAAAAAAAAAAAAAAAAGACAAAAACTAACCAGGTGTGGTGGTGCACACCTGTAATCCCAGCTACTTGAGAGGTTGAGGCAGGAGAATCACTTGAACCCATGAAGCGGAGGTTGCAGTGAGCTGCGATCACACCACTGCACTCCAGCCTGGGCTACAGAGAGAGACTCTGTCTCAAAAAAAAAAAAAAACAGGCTAAGTCAAGAGTCCAAAGTCACACAGCTGGTACATGGTAGAGTCAGACTCTGTACTCAGTGCAACTTTTGCTAAATTTGACAAGGAGCAGGAAGTGGCAAGCCCCAGCAGACCACAGAGTACTGGGCAGCTTTCCCCTGGACCTCAGGAGACACTCCCCCCCACCACACCCCCGGTACCCCATTGCCCCTTCCAAAGTCCAGGAAATAAGTATCTTGATCACACCTAGCCCAGACCCCAGACCCGGAAGGGTCCTCCCCAACTGCCACCCCCAAGCCCAAGGATGCCTTCGAGGTCTCCCAGGACCTCAAGCGGAAGGACACACAGGCCAGGGCAGACCCTGTCTCCCTGGGATAGCGGCCAAAGTCACTGGGCCAGCACAAGAAACAGCTTCTCCCCAGTGAGTGGGAGGAACTGAGGAGCCTGTCAGTCTTGCTCCAGGGCTGGGGGGGTGGGGAGCAGGGAGAGGAAGGGTGGGCAGGATGATACTCTAGGACTAAGGAAGCTTCTAGGTGGTCAAGGGTAGAGACATCCCTTCCAGGAAGCTGTGAATGGAGCTACGTGACCTGCAGCGGTCAGAGCCTAGGTTGATACTGCAAGCCACGTCCCTCTACCCATCACCCCACTCCCAGCCTGGCGCAAGTCTCAGAAAGAGGGAAGACAAGAACATCCGAGGGTCAGCAGCTACTATTTCCCAAGCCCTTACTCCAGGCCAGACTGGGAACACACTTTCCACCACAAGCTCTGAGTCCAGTCCTCTGAGAACCCTCACAATGACCAATGTTTATCTCAAGGCTGGGGAAACACGGAGGCTCTGAGATGGAGCTGCCACCTGAGGTCACTGAGTACTAAACAGCCAAGCTGGGGGATCTCAAGGCTGTGGGAGTGTTCCCCAACTGCTGCCTGCTACCACTGCCATGCCGCTTCCAGGCCACACCTGTAGGACTTCTGGGCCCCCAAGTGACAACCCTACATGGCATTAAAGATGAGCCTGAACACATGCTCCAGGGGTGACTGAGGCCCACTGTTTGCAGGAGAGTTCAGAGCGGCCCCTGCTGTCCCCCTGGGAGGCAGAGTCTGCAGGTGCAAGTTAACACCTCAGCACCCAAGCCTGATTCACTTCAGGGATGGATCTAAATCCAGTCAACTCACACCCTGTCCGTCTCCCTGGCACCCTGTCGGTCTCCCAGGCCTAAGGTGAGACGCCTCCTCCTCCTCTCTACCATGAAAAGTCCATGGCAATGTCCCCTATCAAATGGACACTTCGACTCCTGTGCAGGGCCTGGCCTCACTTGGGCAGCCATCTGTCGTGCCCTACAACCTTAATCGGACACCTCCCCGTTCCACCGTCACTACAGCACTTACAACGCCCTCAGCCTGGGTGTCTATGCTTATCATCCCATGCACCTCCACCCCTGCGCTAGACTGCCCCACTAATGACTCTGGCCTGTTCACTCGCTCATTCCGCCTTGACCCGACCAACGTTCCCGACTCCCTTGAGCCAATCTCTGCCCAGTCTTCTATTCACCTCATGCAGGACCCCTCACCAGTCCCACCATGCCGGGCACTGGGCATCCCCGCGCTGGACCTGAGCAATATCCCCGTCTTCAGAAATTGCTCAATTCCAACCCAGACATCTTGGGCAACCCCTTCTCCTCTTGCCTCCCATCGCGGAACATCCTTGAAACTCACCCAGGTACGCTCTGGCGCCGCTCATGGCCCGCACACCTGCTCCTTCCATCCCGCGTGCTTTCCCCGCCCGGGTCGGGTACCTGTACGCCTGCTCCAATCCCCGCCACGTTCCAGGCCCGGGCATCGTCTCCGTGACCCAAGTACCTTCTCGTCCCATTCCCAAGCAAGGCGCCCTCTCGCACCTTCCCCAGTTCGGGGTACCCACTCATTCCAACCGCGCACCCTCCCGGTCCAGTTGGGCCCGGACACCAGCGCCTACTCGGTCCTCCGTGCAAGCCTCAGTCCCCGGCCCTGCCGCGCTGCCCGCCTTCCTAGGGGGGCTCAGCCCGGGCCGCTACTCACCCGAGATCCCATCGCTGCGGAAGGACAGCGTCTCCTTCCCCCGCGGCTGCGCAACCAAACCAAGGCCGTCAGGGGGCGTGGCCTCGCGCCAGGCCTACCCTTCTCTGGCCAATGAGCATCACTGAGTCGCTCAGGACCGGTGCAGCCTCTGGCCAATGAGGAGGGTGATGTGACCGAGTTGATCCTGCCTCTCCCGCCCTCTTCCCCGCCCCCTAGTGCGGTTGAAGCGCGAAAGTGGTCTCTTCTCTTCTGCTATTGGCCATTCAGATTAGGGTGACCGGGACGGCTGGGTGGGGCGGGGCCACGCTTAAAGGGGCTAAAGCGCAGCAGTCAGGCCTTTAAGGGGCTTTCGGAAAGGAAGCCGAAGCAGGCTGAGCCGTCTTTTTTTTTTTTCCCCTTTATTTTTTGTATTTTTTTGGGGGCTGAGCCGTCTTCTCAGGATCCTCTACTCCTGCTGTTCTCCACAAAGACAAATCCTTCCCACTCTCGAAGCGCCCATTTTCAAACACTACCCCCCTGACTTCCCGCAGCATCCTCACACCGTCGCCACTCTCCTCCCTGTTGTGAGTTGTTTGCAAAAGTGCCAGGTCTCCCCTGCTAGACACCGCCTCTCTGAGAGCTGGAGTCAAGGCGTCTTCAGTTCTGGCCACCTGTGTCTTACACTAAACACCAGGGTTGGAATCAGGCCGACCCCACATGGAGTCAAGTTTTCCCACTAAGCTCTCTTTCCCACTTCCCGCTATGAAACAGGGACGAAATTCTTCCCTTTCCCGTATCGCGGGGCTTTGGTGAGGATGGAAAGAGCACTGCCGGGCGCGGTGGCTCAAGCCTGTAATCCCAGCACTTTAGGAGGCCGAGGCGGGTAGATCAAGAGGTCAAGAGATCGAGACCATCCTGGTCAACATGGTGAAACCCCATCTCTACTAAAAATACAAAAAACTAGCTGGGCATGGTGGTGCATGCCTGTAATCCCAGTTACTCAGGAGGCTGAGGCAGGAGAATTGCCTGAACCCAGGAGGCGGAGGTTGCGGTGAGCCGAGATCGCGCCATTGCACTCCAGTCTGGATAACAAGAGCGAAACTCCGTCTAAAAAAAAAAAAAAAAAGAAAGAAAGAAAAGAAAAAAAGAAAGAGCACTGTGCGTCAGCCCTCCCATAACTGCGAAGAGCTGAGCACAACTACGGTTTCGTTTTTTTGTTTGTTTTTGGAGACGGAGCCCAGGCTGGAGTGCAGTGGCGCGATCTCAACTCACTGCAACTTCCGCCTCCTGGGTTCAAGCAATTCTCTTGCCTCAGTCTCCCGAGTAGCTGGGACTACAGGCGCACGCCGCCACGGGCGGCTAATTTTTTGTATTTTTAGCAGAGATGGGGTTTCCACCATGTTGGCCTGGACGATCTTGATCTGATCTCGTGATCTGCCTGCCTCGGCCTCCCAAAGTGCTGGGATTACAGGCGTGAGACACCGCGCCCGGCCTGTGTTTATTTTCTTGCTGGGACCCATCACCTGACGTGTTATGTATCTGTCTGCCTATGAGGGGAGGAGCCTTGTGTTCACTGCTGCATCCCCGGTGTGTAGAACAGTGTCTGGCACATAAGAGGTCCTCAAGGTGAGTCACTGAAAGAACGAATGACATGTAACTGTATTGATATATGGCTATGGAAGAGGATATGGTTGGATGCTGGTGTTCGCTTAAAAGAAAATTCTAAACCCCTATGGACTGAACAGACCCTGGCGGGGCCAAGGGGACACTAGAGAAACCTTAAAACTGAGTTCTTGGCCGGGCGCGGTGGCTCAAGCCTGTAATCCCAGCACTTTGGGAGGCCGAGCCGGGTGGATCACGAGGTCGAGAGATCGAGACCATCCTGATCAACATGGTGAAACCCCGTCTCTACTAAAAATACAAAAAACTAGCTGGGCATGGTGGTGCGTGCCTGTAATCCCAGCTACTCAGGAGGCTGAGGCAGGAGAATTGCCTGAACCCAGGAGGCGGAGGTTGCGGTGAGCCGAGATCGCGCCATTGCACTCCAGCCTGGGTAACAAGAGCGAAACTCCGTCTCAAAAAAAAAAAAAAAAAAAAAAAAAAAACTGAGTTCTTGGCCATGACACAAAGGGAGGTCAGACATGATGCATTATACCTCCTCTCTTTAGTAGCTTAGACACAACTGACCAGCATTAATGTTAAAACAGAGATCGGTGGGTGCAATGGCTCACACCTGTAATCCCAGCACTTTGGGAGGCTGAGGCAGGCAGATCACGAGGTCAAGAGTTCGAGACCAGCGTGACCAACATAGTGAAACCCCATCTCTACTAAAAATACAAAAATCAGCCAGGTGTGGTGGCATGTATCTGTAGTCCCAGCTACTCAGGAGGCTGAGGCAGGAGAATCACTTGAACCCGGCAGGTGGAGGTTGCAGTGAGCCAAGACTGCTGCATCACTGCACTCCAGCCTGGGTGACAGAGTGAGACCCTGACTCAAGGAAAAAAAAAAAAAAAAAAGATCATAAGAATGACAGAATACTCTTGGTGGTAATAAGGTATCAAACTGTAAACAAGATATAAGACCATGCCAGGCCGGGTGCGATGGCTCACCCCTGTAATCCCAGCACTTTGGGAGGCCGAGGCGCGTGGATCACGAGGTCAAGAGATCGAGACCATCCTGGTTAACATGGTGAAACCCCGTCTCTACTAAAAATACAAAAAAATTAGCTGGGCATGGTGGCGCGTGCCTGTAATCCCAGCTACTCAGGAGGCTGAGGCAGGAGAATTGCCTGAACCCAGGAGGCGGAGGTTGCAGTGAGCCGAGATCGCGCCATTGCACTCCAGCCTGGGTAACAAGAGCAAAACTCCATCTCAAAAAAAAAAAAAAAAAAAAAAAAAAAAGACCATGCCAGGCCGGGGTTAAGTCATGCACCACCTATACTTAAAGAATAAACTGGGCTGGGCGCGGTGGCTCAAGCTTGTAATCCCAGCACTTTGGGAGGCCGAGGTGGGTGGATCACAAGGTCGAGAGATCGAGACCATCCTGGTCAACATGGTGAAACCCCGTCTCTACTAAAAATACAAAAAATTAGCTGGGCATGGTGGTGCGTGCCTGTAATCCCAGCTACTCAGGAGGCTGAGGCAGGAGAATTGCCTGAACCCAGGAGGCGGAGGTTGCGGTGAGCCGAGATCGCGCCATTGCACTCCAGCCTGGGTAACAAGAGCGAAACTCCGTCTCAAAAAAAAAAAAAAAAAAAAAAAAAAAAAAGAATAAACTGTGCGGCCAGGCATGATGGATCACGCCTATAATTTCAGCACTTTGGGAGGAGAAGGCGAGTGGATCACTTGAGGTCAAGAGTTCGAGACCAGCCTGACCAACATGGTGAAATCTCATCACTACTAATATTTAAACAATTAGCCGGGCATGGTGATGTGCACCTGTAATACGAGGTACTCGGGAAGCTGAGGCAGGAAAATTGCTTGAACTTGGGAGGTAGAGGTTGCAGTGACCTGAGATCGTGCCATTGCACTCCAGCCTGGACAATAAGAATGAAAGTTTGTCTCAAAAAAAAAAGTCGGGGGCGCTCGGTGCAGTGGCTCACTCCTGTAATTCCAGCACTGTGGGAGGCCGAGGTGGGTGAATCAGTCAAAGTTAGGAGTTCGAGACCAGCCTGGCCAATGTGGAGAAACCCTGTCCCTACTAAAAATATGAAATTAGCCCGGCATGGTAGCACACGCATGCGCCTGTAGTCCCAGCTACTCGTGAGCCTGAGGCAGGAGAATTGCTTGAACCCAGGAGGCAGAGGTTACAGTGAGTCAAGATTGTGCCATTGCAGTCCAGCCTGGGTTGGACGGAGCGAGACTCCATTTCAAAAAAAAAAGAGGCCAGGTGCGGTGGCTCACGCCTGTAATCTCAGCACTTTGGGAGGCCAAGGCGGGTGGATCACCTGAGGTCAGTTCAAGACCAGCCAGGCCAAAATGGTGAAACCCTGTCTTAGAAAAATAAAGAAGAAGCCGGGCGCGGTGGCTCAAGCCTGTAATCCCAGCACTTTGGGAGGCTGAGGCGGGTGGATCACGAGGTCAAGAGATCGAGACCATCTTGGTCAACATGGTGAAACCCCGTCTCTACTAAAAATACAAAAAATTAGCTGGGCATGGTGGCACGTGCCTGTAATCCCAGCTACTCAGGAGGCTGAGGCAGGAGAATTGCCTGAACCTGGGAGGCGGAGGTTGTGGTGAGCCGAGATCGCACCATTGCACTCCAGCCTGGGTAACAAGAGCGAAACTCCGTCTCAAAAAAAAAAAAAAAAAAAAAGAAAAAAGAAAAATAAAGAAGAAAAGAAAAAAAAAAAGTAAACTGTGCTCTAACTGCCAAAAGGTTTTTATTTTTCTTTAGCAGTGAAACAAGCATTGGCTTCCAATGAAGGATATATTAAATAAATAAATAGACTCCCTCCCTTCCTCCCTCCCTCTATAAAAAAAAAAAAAAGAAAAAAGAAAGAAGGAAAAAAGAAAATAAATAAAAGCGTTGGCCTGGAGATAAGTAGCACTCAAACAACCGCAGCTCACCCAGCTCCCAACACTGACTAACCGAACTCCTACACTACCAGCCTAACTGTAGCCTTCACTGGACAAAAGACTGATTTCAGTTACTCTTCTGGTAAGATCAACAGCAGGGCATGGTAGCTAATGCTGTAACCCCAACGCTTTGGGAGGCTGAGGCGGGAGGATCACTGGAACCCAGGAGTTGTAGATCAGCCAGGTCAACACACAGCAGAACACCTTCTCTACACCTGTGGTCCCAGCTCCTTGGGAGACCGAGGCAGGATGATCAATTGCTTGACGCCAGGAAGTTGAGGCTGCAGTGAGCCGTGATTCTACCACTGCACTCCAGCTTGGTGGCAGAGCAAAACCCTGTCTCAAGAAAGAAGAAGGGGGCCGGGCGTAGTGGCTCACGCCTGTAATCTAAGCACTTTGGAGGCCAAGGCGGGCAGATCACCTGAGGTCAGGAGTTCAAGATTCAAGACCAGCCTGGCCAACATGGTGAAACCTCGTCTTTTAAAAAAAAAGAAAAGAT